TTTTCATGTAAAACAAAGCCAAACGAATATTAAATTTTGATGAAAAAAATTCATTTTTTTTTTTACTTTTTGACAATGGAAACAAATTTTATAACCAATTGTGGAAAAAAATATCATTTTAATGGACAATTTTCATGTAAAACTAAGCCAAACGAACACAAAATTAAAAAAATTTCCATCCAAAAAATTATACAAATCAAATACACTTAATTAATAATCCACTGGAAAACAATTTCTAGGCAATTACTTTCCATGAAATTCATTTTCTTTCCACCAATTTTTCACTTTTACAATCAAACGAACCCTTAAAGCCAAAACACTAAAAATGGGTAAATTTAAATTAATAAAAATTCAGCAACCGTGGCAATACCTAGAGGCCTATTGTAAAAAAAATGAACTACCCCGATGAGCAGAATGTTGATACCAAGGATCGCTTGTGCATATAATGTTAAATATTGAGGGAATGGAATTTATAGTGGGAAAATTTCTTGTCTAAGAGATTAAGACCTTATTTAATCTCTACTTTTTTTAAAATACATTTTTCTCTCTCTTCTTTTCAATAACACATTCTTCAATAAAATAATACTGCACACAATCCAAAAAAATTTTCTTCATTTTTAATCACAAATTCTATATTAATTTACTATTCCAAAATGTATTCTAAAAAAGTGGAGCTGAAACAGGCCCTCAGTATGACTCATTTCAAATTAAGAAACAATGTTTAAAATTTCAAAAATCAAATATTAATTAAAATCTATTTATGAAATAATTAATTAAAAATATATTTTATTAATAAAATATATTAATGTCACAGTTATATACAATTTAGTCACAAATTATCGAATTAATTGATCACAAATAAAAAAATTATATATCACAAATTATTTTACGATCACAAATCAAAAATTTTATAGGTCAATTTACTCATTTGTCATAAATAAAAAAATAAATATAGGTCATAAATCACAAATTTTATAAGTCGCAACTTATTTCACGGTAACAAAGTATCGAATTATTTGATAACAATTAGGAGTGTCAATTTGGTTCGTTGACACGTGGCTTGGCCAAGGAAAAGCCTGAGCTAGCCCCGTTAGTGGCTCGATTGACCGGGCTCGCCCTTGTGGCTAGTCGAGCCACACAAGGCAACTCGCGTCACGAGCCATTTTCGACCCTTGAAGAGTCGAACCTTAAAAATAATAATTAAAAAAATCAGCTGCCTGCAATACTTGACAGCTACGTGTACAATAGAATGCAACTACATGCTGCCTGTAACTTCCTTGCAGGCATAAGGCCAGAGCCGAAAGCTCGGGTCGAATCCAATTTTTTTGGCTGAGCAAGAGCTCGGCTCGGCTCGAGCCAAAAAAAGTCTGAGCCTCGAGTTTCGACTCGTCTAGTTGATATCCCTAGTCACAACTTACCAATTCTAGTCGCGATTCCAAATTTAATCACAATTACACATTCTTTTAGGTAACAAATTAACCAATTTATTGGTCACAACACCCAAATAATGGATCAAAAATAGTCTTCGTCCCAAACCATCTTCGTCGCCGCCGCCGCCGCCGTTGCCAACAGCACCACCACCTCACCATTACCACACACATCGTCGTTGCTATCCCTAACCACTCATCACTTCTACCTCCACCTCTACCTCCACATCCACCTCCACCTGCAACTCCAATCAACTATCACACAACAAACACCATCACTGCCACCACCACACCAACACCAGCTCACCATCATTCCCAGCAGCAGAACCACCTCACCACCACCATATACATCGCCGTTACCACTACTGCCTGCTCCAACAACCACCCACCACCTTTACCTACAATTCCAATCAACCACCGTACAACAACCACCATTTCTTCCAACACTACCACACCCATAGAAACCATCCAACCAAAGATTAGAAAACCACATACCCACAGTAGTACCGCAGAGCGCTGGAGAGAATTCACCGGAGAAGAGAAGAGCCATTGGATAACGAGAGACCATGCAAGTTTTCATTGAAAAAATAGCGTACAACACCACTACGCGCTGGGAAGCTAGAGAGAAGCGCCGAAGAAGATGAGTCGCAACAGTGCTAGAAAGCAACTAGTTGTCATACTTGTACCGTAAGTTAGCAACTAGTCGCCTCACTTACAACACCGCTGTGGGCTCAAATATGGCAAATTGCCTTGGACAACCCAGTAGGATATGGCAAGCATACATGTCTATGAAATCACACATAATTTCATCCTTATAATGCTTACCAATGGAAACAAGTACTTTGAAAGTTTCAGCAACTTGAATAGAAAGACATTTCTTCTCACAACCAAGGGAATAAAGTTTGGGATGGTTCGAGTGGGTAACTTCAACAAATTCTCACAGCTTTTCTCGTTCACAATCAATTCACACATCTATAATAAATATAGATCAACTCAACTCCTTTTCTGTCCAATTTTTCTTCAATCCATTCAATTCTACATCAAGAAATATTATATTCGAACATGTATAAGTGTTATTTATCATTAAAAAAAAAGAAAAAAAAAAGGCAGAGCTTAGAATCTTGATGAAATTCTAAATAATATCATTTTTTTTGTCACATAAGCTCGACCAAGTCCTTATCAGAAGAAAAAGGTCGTGTTTTCTCGACCTAACAATATCTACTATCAAATGCGGCCATATATTTATGTCTTGTCACATTGGTAAGTCTCGTTGGAAGGCTACGTGTGTTACCATGCAACGCACAATTTAACTACTTATGACCCTTAGATTGACTTGACCTATATTATTTCATTTATAAAATTGAAAAGTTAAAAAAATAAAAATAAAAATGTTAAACGTATGCACCAACCAAGAAACCAACCAAGTAGGTACCATCTACTCCCCATTCCCATTCAATTCTGCTACAGTTCTATTTATACATACACACTCTTGTATCTATATATACAAACTTCCAACTACCACTTTCTTCACGCAAAGCTTCTAGCCAGCCCCCACCTCTCATGATGACCTTAACCCTAATTCTATACACTTCAATCTTAGGGTTCCTCCTATACTCTTTACTTAACCGCCTTCTCCTCAGCCGTTATCCAAAACCGCTGCCGCCGGGCCCAAAACCATGGCCGATAATCGGAAACCTCCCCAACATCGGGCAGAAACCTCACCAATCCATCGCCGCCATGGCCCGCGTTTACGGCCCCCTCATGCATCTTAAAATGGGGTTCGTCCATGTGGTTGTCGCCGCCTCAGCGGAGGTGGCGGAGCAGTTTCTTAAGGTCCACGACGCCAATTTTTCCAACCGGCCACCTAACTCCGGCGCCAAATACCTTGCTTATAACTATCAAGATCTGGTCTTTGCACCCTATGGTCCACGGTGGCGCATGCTGCGTAAAATTTGCGCAGTTCATCTTTTCTCCGCCAAGGCTCTAGATGACTTCCGCCATGTTCGACAGGTAAGGTAGGCAGTACTAAAAAAGCTAAGGTGTGTTTGGCTCATTGTTGGTAAGCTTAAGAAATTTACTTATAAGTAATTTTAAAAATAAATAGTCTTTATAGGATAAACAAAGTACTTTCGTCTGATCTATATCCTTATATTTACATTCCTTACCTAGTTCCTTTCTTCTTGTTCATGGAATTCGTCGAACTCAATAATCGTAACGGTTGCAACCAGCTAGTTATGTGCAACGTGTCCCACTTCAAGTTTTTTAGGGTGGTTACCATGAATTTTAATTCCATGGGAATATTCAATCTCGTCACTTCTTAAGTTAGATTAGACAATACTAGATTACTAATTAAAAATAAATAAATTGAATTAGACAACTCTAGAGATTAATAAATAAATAAAATTCTACTTCTTTTGGTCAAGTTTGGACTTATATAGTTAACTTTGCAGGAAGAATTAGCTGTTCTTGCACACGCCCTAGCTAGTGCAGGGCAGAAGACCCCAGTGAATTTAGCCCAATTACTCAACGTGTGCACCACCAATGCTATAGCCCGGGTGATGCTGGGGCGGCGCGTGGTGGGGGACGGGAGTGGCGGTGGAGACTCCAAGGCGGATGAATTCAAATCAATGGTGGTAGAGTTGATGGCTCTTGCAGGTGTGTTCAACATAGGTGATTTTATCCCAGCCCTTGAAGGTTTAGACATTCAAGGGGTGGTCAAGAAAATGAAGAAACTTCACAAACGTTTTGACACTTTCTTGGACAAGATTCTTGAGGAGCACAAGATCAACGGCTCTCATGGGTCGGATCGAAACGTGGACTTGTTAAGTGCGTTAGTCGAGTTGAAAGATGTTGAGCGGGGGGGAGAAGGGAGACTTACAGATACAGAAATCAAGGCTTTGCTTTTGGTATTACTCTTTACTAAACTTTTACATATTTTTTTGACTCGTAGATTAAATTAAACGTGAATGGTCAAGATTAAAGAAGGAAACATGAGATAAGAAATTATGTTGTAGCCCTTTAATTTAAAAAGTTGCTAAAATTTTAAATAAAAAATCAGTAATTAATTTTAATCATGTATTTTATGAAACTCACAATTTTTATCAACTTTTCAATTACAACATCCAGTTTAGTCCAACGGATTGAACATACCACAATCTTGTTTTTGTTAGTCCCTGTATAGTAGTTATTAAAATCAAATTTTTTGTAGATTTTGATAAAATTGATGAAATTTGTGGTTAAAACGTTGAGGATTTCATGAAATATGTTGTTAAAATTAATTGTTAATTTTAATTTAAAATTTTAATCTAAGCCAAACTGGGGCAAAAAAAAGGGAGAGTTGAGCCTCCATTTGAATAGGCCTATAAATTTAGTCATAATTAAGTATTAATTTCAACTATATATTTATAAATACAACTCCTCACATTTATTGAGATTAACTATTATTACTCTTACTATTTATTTTAGAAAAAGTCATTCAACCAGGCCCAAAAACAGGAAACAAGGAGATAGAGTGATGTGTAGGGAAATAATTTGATGTTTTTTTTTAAATTGTCCAATCTGACACCGACACATGTCCTCCCTGAATTTGAGCATGTTCCTGTAGCTTTTCTCATTTATTTTTATAAATCATTTATAAATTTGTCAAAACCGGGGCTAAGTAATTTTTCTATTATTCATTAAAGCACCATATTCAACAAAAGTTTTGATTGAACTTGATAAATAAGATTAAGGTAATTATATTGACTCCATAATTTTTATTTCATACACCACATTATAATTGTACTTAAGGTTTTTTAACTTTACTCATTATAGTACTTATGTCTTTAACGATTTTTCATGTCATCATCATTTTCAAACTTTTCATTAGTTAACAATTTTATATTTGATAACAGTTTTATGTTCAAAAGTGTGTAAAATACTTTATTTTTATCCCATTTTTATAAAATAAATAAATAAAAAGTGTGAAAAAAATATTTTCTATAAAAAAAAATACTAAAAGGAGACAAAATGACTCCAAGTTGATGGCATATGAATGGTTAGAAATAAATCAAATATTATTTCATCTTAGATGGGAGGGAATTAATAATTTTAATTTATGACTCATTTCCTGGTCATTTGTCTTTTATGGACGTTAGCACGCTTTTGTCGTGATGGCTTTTCTACTTCAGCATGATCCAACGACGTTTGATGGAGAAATCTTTATTTGAACATGATATTAAGGTTTACGAAATGTGGTCCCCAAAACATGGGTCATAGAGATGCATTTGGTTGCCACCAAACTAATGTGTGATCATAATTTCAGAACTTGTTTTCCGCTGGGACCGATACGTCTTCTAGTACAGTGGAATGGGCCATTGCAGAACTCCTCCGACACCCAGAGATATTGGCTCGAGCCCAAGAAGAGCTTGATTTGGTTGTGGGTAAGGATCGACTTGTGGCAGAAGCTGACCTACCCCGGTTGACATTCCTTCAAGCCTTCATCAAGGAAACCTTTCGACTTCATCCTTCCACACCACTATCTCTTCCGAGAATGGCTAGTGAGAATTGTGAGATCAATGGCTTCTTCATTCCAAAGGGCTCTACGCTTCTCGTTAACGTTTGGGCCATAGCTCGTGATCCAAACGTATGGGCCGATCCACTTGAGTTTCGACCAGACCGATTTTTGCTTGGTGGTGAAAAGGCTAATGTTGATGTTCGAGGAAATGATTTTGAAGTGATACCTTTTGGAGCCGGCCGTAGAATTTGTGCTGGATTGAGCTTGGGCCTGCGCATGGTGCAGCTAATGACTGCAACCTTGATCCATGCATTTGATTTCGAGTTACCTAATGGGATATTGGCTCAAAAGCTCGACATGGAAGAGGCTTATGGGCTGACGTTACAACGGGCTGCACCATTGGTGGTGCATCCAAGGCGTAGGTTAGGACCTCATGTATTCAAGGTCTAAGTGTCTGGAAATTTGGCTGTCTGGTAGATTATATTTCAGCACTTCTATTAAAATCTAATGTAAAATATTCCATTGAACTTTCACTAGTTCTGTTTTATGCACTCTGGTAAATTATTAGCTCATGTTTGGTAGAAATTAAAATTAAAATTTTAATATAAGTCAAAATCAACAGCTAATTTTAATAACATATTTCGTGGGATTCACAATTTTTCAACTACACATTTCATCAACTTTTATAAAATCTACTAAAAATCTGATTTTAAATACACGCCGATATGGGATTAGTATGAAAGTTTCTGCAAATTGATTCTTCAAAATAGTTTTGTCATGTTTAATACGCCCAACTTGATAGAATCAAACTCAACGGTACAAATTTGTGATAGTTTTTTCGTTGATCATATTTATCATGCCTAGTTCATCATACTAAGGCTTTGTTTGGGAGGGATTAGATTTTTCTATAGTAAATCAATTCTCATTTTCAACCACACATTTTTCAATAAAATAATATTTTCCATAATATCAATAATTTTTTCTTCTATTTCAACCACACATTTCCCATCATATCACTATTCAAAATCAATTCTTCCCCCAAAAATCTCTTCCAAACAAGCTCTAAATATTCCATTAGTGAAACAATAGAGATATTTTCTAATATTTTTGAAAAAAAAAATATCGAACTTCTTAGAACACTTTCTTTTTTAATTAAATTGAGGAGGAGGGGGAGGGGGGGGGGGGGGGGGAATTGAAAGAAATTAATGAATCTGCCGAAAGTCGTAGTTGTGAATTGAAGTGAAGAGATGAACGGGACATTTGGTGAAGACTTGATGTGGCTTGTATTTTTTGCGCACTGGGAAGAGCCGGCATACATGACGGGGAGCTGGTGGCATCATTAACTTTGAATTAATTAATTTTAGGGAAAATTGCAGCAGAAGTCTCAAACCTTTGAATTTTTTACAGATTTTAATTTGTGCCGTCCCAAACCTTTGAAAAATTTTCACCTGGAGTCCAAACTGTTAGTTGACCAAGAAAATAAAAGGTTGACCAATTTTTATCAAATTGAAAAGGGTAAAATGATATAACTACATTTTCTCAAATATTAACAATTAAACTAAAAAAAAACCTCAGCCCCACCACCACCTACCCACAAACCCCACCCCTCCTTCATCTTCTCCAAACCCCCAACCCAACTCTCGGAATAATTGTACCCATAACTTTCCAATTTTTTTTACATGTATATTTTTTGGATTTTTCAAAAGCTAAGGTGTGAAAATTTTATTTGAAGAATCAATTAATTGGAGCATATGCCACAGAGAAGATATATTTGAAGAATCAATTAACTAGGTTGCCACTTGCCGAGAAGAGTTACTGCAATTTCCTCACAAAACTAGATCTAGAAAGGAGCTGAAGAAACGGATATGGAGAAGAGTTTTTTGTTTTAGTCCATGAACGCGTCAATATTATAGGTCGGTCATGACAGATCGATCAAAGACAGTGATTTTATTTATTTTTTGCTTGGAAGTCAAATATGATTTAAAATTAAGCTAATTTTAAAAAATTAAATATTTTCTTGATTAGTTTGCAATTATTTTACAAGTGGAGCTTAGATGTTACATTAACTTTCTTTATTAGACCTAAACTAACTCTTAGATTAGTTTAATGATACTAAATGAGGTGAGCCGATCATCAACGAGCACGAGTTGTCTCGCGAGCCAAAACTAGATGAGCCACATTATTGCTGCAAAATCAGCAATGGATTAGACGAGCAACATGTCTACCAGTGTCATCTAATCACTTGGAATCTCAAACCTGATATTCAAACTTTGAATTTTTATTTTTGCTCATGAAGTAATTCATAGCATTCATAAACATGAATTTCGAATCAAGAAACTTACTTAAAATGATGAATTTCAAGATCTTTTGAATAATTAAATCACCTTGTTTTTCAAAACTTCAAATCTGTAATTTTATTATACTCTAATGGTCTCAACCCCGATTACAATGGAATGAGATTATTAGCCACAATTTAAATGTCATTTTTTGTGAGTTTTCATGCAAAAATATTGGTTCTAGATACTTTTCAATCTTGGTGATATTTTCCATACGAATTTTCACTATTTTATTGCCATTTTCTTCTTCTTCTCTCTCTCTTTTTTTTTTTTTTTGCTTTCCTACAAGTGCAAGACAAAGTCATGAGAGTTATATAAAAGTTTGAAAGTGTGTGGGAGTTGAAAAAAGTTATGAGTTTGAATTAGATTCAAACCACTCCCTCCAATTCATTTTAATAACTAGTGGATCAAGTCTTTCCATAAGGGTGGCTCATGATCCATATTTTCTGACAAGTCATTTCTCACATTTTTTGGGCTATAAGTAGGTCGTCTAGGGCTTTAGATTTTCACACGGCATTCAATTTTCTATAAATCTCGATCTCTCATACTACTTTGAGCTCTCTCTTCACTCTTAAATCTTATAATTTAGAAATATTATTTGTTTTCACATTTTAATCTATATTTCCATATTTACTTGTGTATTTACCCATTTCTAAGTAATGACTAGTTTATCATCATATTCCTCCATTGAAAAATTTAAAAGTTTCTTGTAGATTTTTCAAATGTCCGATGAAATGGCAAATTACAATCCTGCATTCATCAAAATGAAAGAACATTTAGCTCATGTTTGGTGGGCGTCAACAATTAATTTTAACAATATATTTAATAGGAC